TACACCAGAACACCGTGTGGCTGGCTGGCTGGCTTACACCAGAACACCGTGTGGCTGGCTGGCTGGCTTGCACCAGAACACCGTGTGGCTGGCTGGCTGGCTTACACCAGAACACGTGTGGCTGGCTGGCTGGCTTACACCAGAACATCGTGTGGCTGGCTGGCTGGCTTACACCAGAACATCCGTGTGGCTGGCTGGCTGGCTTACACCAGAACACCGTGTGGCTGGCTGGCTGGCTTACACCAGAACACCGTGTGGCTGGCTGGCTGGCTTACACCAGAACACCGTGTGGCTGGCTGGCTGGCTTACACCAGAACACCGTGTGGCTGGCTGGCTGGCTTACACCAGAACATCGTGTGGCTGGCTGGCTGGCTTACACCAGAACATCGTGTGGCTGGCTGGCTGGCTTACACCAGAACACCGTGTGGCTGGCTGGCTGGCTTACACCAGAACACCGTGTGGCTGGCTGGCTGGCTTACACCAGAACACGTGTGGCTGGCTGGCTGGCTTACACCAGAACATCGTGTGGCTGGCTGGCTGGCTTACACCAGAACACCGTGTGGCTGGCTGGCTTACACCAGAACACCGTGTGGCTGGCTGGCTGGCTTACACCAGAACACCGTGTGGCTGGCTTACACCACAACACCGTGTGGCTGGCTGGCTTACACCAGAACACCGTGTGGCTGGCTGGCTGGCTTACACCAGAACACCGTGTGGCTGGCTGGCTGGCTTACACCAGAACACCGTGTGGCTGGCTGGCTGGCTTACACCAGAACACCGTGTGGCTGGCTGGCTGGCTTACACCAGAACACCGTGTGGCTGGCTGGCTGGCTTACACCAGAACATCGTGTGGCTGGCTGGCTGGCTTACACCAGAACCCCGTGTGGCTGGCTGGCTGGCTTACACCAGAACATCGTGTGGCTGGCTGGCTGGCTTACACCAGAACATCGTGTGGCTGGCTGGCTTACACCAGAACATCGTGTGGCTGGCTGGCTTACACCAGAACACCGTGTGGCTGGTGGTTTAACCTTGATTCTAAAGGTGGTTTATACACTGTAAAAGTGAAATAAAACATAAACCAGGTTTTATGCAACATCCGAATGTTTTAAAAAAACAATATCTTGGTACAAATAACAGAAATACCTTATGATCTCTTCAAAAGTGTAAGTTTGGACTCTCGACGTCCATGAACACTGTGACTCTGGGGACTTTGTACGTCCTGAACTGTGTACTCTGGAGACTGTACATCTGAATAGTTGTACTTGGAGAATTTGTACATTGCTGACAGGTGTTACACTCTGGAGATTTTGTACATCCTGAACATGTGTACTCTGGAGACTTTGTACATCCTGAACATGTGTACTCTGGAGACAGGTTATGAGAGAGTAGTTACTAGTTGTTGTACTCTACACAACCACCAGTCTTGTCTTGGACTGGTAGTGCGCAAGTCAACAGTCACTCTCCAGGTGACTCTCCAGGTGACTCTCCAGGTGACTCTCCAGGTGACTCTCCAGTTAGTGATCCTCAACTGTCAATCATTCAGTCAGGTAAAACTTATCTTTAACTGATAAAACAGTCATCATCCTGTCAGTGTTATCATCCTAAGAGACAGTATATCATTCCTCTGTCATCCCCCAGTCAGTGAATCATTCATACTGTATCATCCCTAGTCAGTGTATCATCCCTATTGTATCATCCCCTAGTCAGTGTATCATTCCTACTGTATCATCCTAGTCAGTGTATCATTCCTACCGTATCATCCTAGTCAGTGTATCATTCCTACTGTATCATCCTAGTCAGTGTATCATTCCTACTGTATCATCCCTCAGTCATCCTCCCTCACATACAACTCTCACATACACAAGAGTAGGTCGCCTTGCCTCACTAGCTAGTGTATGCTGTATATAATAAAAAAATACATTGTGTGCTGAATGATGCTTCTTTTATTAATCCTACAACAACAACAACAGTAATAATAATAATAATAATAATAATAAGAAGAAGAAGAAGAAGAAGAAGAAGAAGAATAATGTAAAAAATATAAGAGATAACAATATAAGAGTCAAACAGTATTGACTGATTCCAAAAACGGAACTGTTGTTAAGTAACAAGGCATCGCTGCTCGGAAACAGGGTATCGCTGCTCGGAAACAAGGCATCGCTGCTCGGAAACAAGCCATCGCTGCTCGGAAACAAGGTATCACTGCTCGGAAGCAAGGCATCACTGCTCGGAGACAAGGAATCGCTGCTCGGAAGCAAGGCATCGCTGCTAGGAGACAAGGTTCGCTGCTTGGAAACAAGGCATCGCTGCTTGGAAACAAGGCATCGCTGCTCGGAAACAATTCATTGCTGCTCGGAAAGAAGGTATCACTGCTCGGAAACAAGGCATAGCTGCTAGGAAACAAGTTATCGCTGCTCGGAAACAAGCCATCGCTGCTCAGAAACAAGGTATCGCTGCTCGGAAACAAGGCATCGCTGCTCGGAAACAAGGCATCGCTGCT